GTATATGTAAAATTAGGAGCTGAGCAAGTTTACTTAAGACACCAAAGTTGGTTATCTTAATAAAATAACCAGATATTAACGATTTTAGTACTGACAGATTTTTAGTTATTTTTGTGTAAAAAGGATTTATGAAAAGAGTTTTTTTTTTCATATTTTATTTATTATTGTAAGATAATGATAATAATAAATTAATGAATTTTACAAGTATAGGCTTGTAATCAAAATTGCTAATAATCAAATCTGAATTACATAATAATATATACTCAATGACTACTATTTTTTGAAGATGATGCTAGGGTTATTTTAATTGTTATATACTGACTATTAATGTTTATATAAGTTATCATATATAACAATTAAGTACATATTACTAAGATGCTCATCTAGCATTTATTTTAAAAAAAAAGTGAGCAAAAGTTTTTTAATCTAATAATAGCTGTAGTTTTAATAATAGAATTGGTCCAACCCTTATAGCAGATGTCACAACTACTAATAGAACAATAATATATGCAATAAAACTATAAAACAATATGATAAAACAATATAATATTAAAAATAATACATATCAACAAAACTATATTAATAAATTTCTATGTTAAATTTACTTTATGTGAAACCAAATTTTTTTACTTTCAGTTTTTATTTGTATCTTAAACAGGTCAACTAACTTTTATTTATAACTTAAAAAGGCTATCAGTTTTGATGCATAGTATAAATATTTTTATATACTTTATATTTAAACTTATTATTGAACATGAATTTTTTAGCTAAGAAAATAGATATATCAATATATTATAAAAAAAATTTTACTTTAAAAATATTATTCATCAGATTTTAAAATTCAGTTACTTTTTTTTTTAAAAAAAAAAAAATTTATAAATAAAATTAGAAACTCTTATACAGTTGAAAAAAAGTATAAAGCAATAAAATTAGCTCATTATACTTCAAATTTATATATAGCATGACTTTATTTATTAGATTTAATAATGCTTGGTCATTAAGTTAAAAAATTTTTTCAAGATTTTTTTTCTCATTCTCAAAAAAATACACAAAGCATTGGTTCTGAATATTATATATTTTTTTATAAAGAGAAGGCTTAATTTTATAAATAAATAATAGTAGTTTATAAAAATAGTTTCACAGTTACTTATTCTAATATAAAACTGAAAATAGCTAAAATCTTGAATGAAAGTGCTAAAAAAATAAAAAATAGGTTTAAGAAGCTTAAAATTAATTAGTTCAAGTTTTTAACACATTGGCTTAATTATTTTTTAAAACATTATGATCTTATTTTTAAAATAAAACTAAAATTGCACGAAAGTTACCAGAGAATCTTGAAAATTAGTTATTTAACTTTCAGTGATTTGTTATTTATCTTTGTTTAAAAAATGAATATTTTTTTGAAATAATTTCAAATATAGATGAGATTCTGATTTGGTTCAATATAGCAAGTAGTTTAACTGTAAATTCTAAAGGTACAAAAACTGTTTATATTCAAACAATAGGAAATGATAAGAATAGATTTACTGTAGTTTTGACATGTCTTGCAAATAGTAAAAAGCTACTACCTGTTATTATTTTTTAAAAAAAGGTTTGGTCAGCTAATACACCACTATACAGCTAATATAGTAGTTTGGTTTCAAGAGAAAGTGTAGATAGATAAGTCTAAAATAAATAAATAGATAAAAAATTAAAATAATATATAGTCAGGACTATGTAATTTAAGAACAATGTTAGTCTTTGATTTTTTTTCAGCTTATATTATAGAACAGACTAAGGCTGAATTTCATTTAGAAAATACAGATTTGGCTATTATTTCTAATGACCTTACTAGTATATATTAGTCTTTTGATGTTTGTATTAACAAACTTTTTAAGAATAAACTTTGTAAATATTGTTATAGGTAGATAGTGAATAGTGACAGTAGTTTCACTAAGAAAAGAAACTTAAAGTATGCTGATCTACAAATAATATGTCATTGGGTTTTGAATGCTTGGAAAGATATTTCTGAAGGCATTATTGTCTAAACATTCAAAAAATGTAGCATTTCTAATTGTTTGTTAAGAAGCAAAAATCATTTTATTTATAATAATAATAAGGATAAAAAAAATTCAAATGAAAATTTAAATAATAATGAGTTTGATGATAATAGTGAAGAAGAGATGTCTAACAATAATAAAGAGTTAATATTTGATGATAATAAAAAAATGATGTCTGATAATAATAAAGAAGTATCTGATAAAGATAATAATAAAAAAAAATTTGACAAAGATAATAAACCTAATAATAATGATTAATTTGATAATAAAATAGGCAAGTAGTCAAATTTTTTTGTCATAATTAAAAGTATAACTAAAAATTATTATTTAAAAAACATAATTTTACATATTGTAAATTAAATTTAATTAATTACTTTATATTCTTTAACAGGTTCAATATTATTATTTATTAATTAGACTTTATATAATTACAAATGATATTCAAATCTATTAAAATAATGCAATAAAGCATAATAAAATCTAATTTAAGATAGTGATCCTAGTGTAGTAGTTGGGTTGTCATCCTTCAAGTGCAGGTCTAAGGTTCAAATCCTACCTATGATGAAATTTGGAAATTATATCTGTGTTATGGTAATTGTCTTCTGTTAATCAATTGGTCTTATGTGGCTGTTACTTAGGTACACCAAGTTGGGTCCTCTCGATATTAGAAGCTCAGACATCTATGTAAAGTGTAACATTATATGTACATAGAGGAATGTTTACCAGTGTTGTATATGACTTCAGTGCAAATACATGATAAGACTATCAGGTATAAAAGACTAAGGAACCAAGGTAATGGAAACCTACTTAAAAATCCCTAAGTAAAGAGGTAGTATGAACTTTTGACAATATCATTAGACTGGTTAAAGCCTATGAAACATCTTCATAAAAGCTGAAAATTAAAACTAGACATCAAATATATGTAAAGAAGCACATAACCAACCAGGGTGCCAGATTCACCAGAGAAAAAGGATACATAAATATATCATACCAGGCTATCTGGATTGGTAGTCTGGAATAAGACTAATAGTTCTGAGTTGTGGCTAGTAAGAGATAATAAAGAAGATGCCAGAAAGATAGGTATTGGAGTTCTAGTGAACTTTATAAGAGTAGAAATAATGTAATATAGCGATTAAACAGGTAACCCTTGTAACTGCAAGTATTAAATAACTATAACATGTTGCATAAAACTAGGTCTATATGTATGAGATATAAAGGCTTTAATAAGTTTCCTATCAAGAATAAAGTAGTCTTAAAAGTAATGATAAGCATCAGGAACTTGAATGGATGTAGTTTTGAGATGTTCTTATAATACAAGAAGGATTGCATATGCAGAGGGTTTAAATAAGCAAGACCCCTAGTTGGCTTGCAGGTATAGCAACTAGTATAGAACTTATATAGCAATATATAAGTGAACTACTTAAATTAGACACCAAAAGTACATGTGTGACTAGTTGTAATCTTCAATATAAAGGAGCCTTTGGAGATATCTGTTTCTTAACAATACTTGAATAAAATATTACATCCCCAAGATAAGGACTTTAATTATAAAAAAAAAAAAAATAAAATCTAGTTTTACTTTTTTTTTTTTTTTTTTAAATATTAAGGTGAGTACTTGTGACTCAGGATTTTATTGATAGTATATTTGGCTAATGGTTG